CCGTCAATGATCATTGTTTTTCACACAATTGCGAGCTCCTCCTCGAGCAGAATCTCACTACATGTCTAAGACTGTCAACTGTTGGATCAACAGACGACCAGCCCTCTGAACGGAATTTCTCCACATTTAGTGAAAGAATCCTGTAAACTCAACTAGGTCAAAACAGGTAACCGGTTTAGTTAAACACTAATTTGAAACATGAAAAGGCAAGGTGAACACACTCAGCCAATGAATAAACCATCACCTCAACATACGGGAACAATAGGAACACTGAGAATTGCTAAACTGAACTGAAAAAAATACAGTATCATCAAATACTTAAGAAAAATTGCGATAACCCCAAACATCACCTAATCTATGCCAACAGATACAAGCGCTGCCATCAGAAAAACTGGGAACAATTCGAGGACTAGACACAATCACCTCAATGCTTTCAGAATAAAAATAAATAAGTGCATGTTCTACCGAACTTGGAATGGAATCTAGAGATTAGGGCCTTGCAGTTAAAACGAATGTCACTAGCATAAAGGAAAGGGAAAGACATGGATAATTAAAATAGTAACTAAAATACCAGAGCGATTGAACCAACCTCCACCATCTAATAATTCAGATAATAAGTACAGCATTCGTACCCCCGACCATAACGTTGATTTTAAGATTAAACCCGTCCAGGTTTCACTAAACATCGAGAAATTAAAGTGCAAAAGTAATCACTCATCCATATCCCTCAGATACACTGACAAATACTGCCACGTCAATTCTTCTTGCTTATCGTCCTCCTGATTTACTCCTTAACCATCACAGAACAGGCAATTAATATGATACAGAATAATTTTCAGGGCTACATAGAATTAGATATTAATATTGTGATTGAGATCCCTGTGCTGAACTATTTGTCGAAAGTGAATTTATAGCAAATAAATCCTGTGGCAACACTTGATATGAACTCACCCAGTTCAAGACTGAAAAATGTGGACTGAAATTGTGTTTAAGCATGATGTGCTAGATCAGTGGGGGTCAATCTATGGTTCCTAAACACAAGTGCCTCACTGAATGCAGATCTTCACAAATCTATTGCATTAATTGCAACACATCTGAATTGCAAATTTATGTCACATGGGCCACAAGACTTTGGCACTCATGGATTGCATGGAGACGGATACCCTATTCTCTATTATATACTCTCTAACACTTGTGATAGCGAATGTGATGGGAATGAGAAGACACGAAGTGCTATGATTGCCATGATTAGACATTTTAGACTGCAAATTGCATTAAGAGAAACTTGAAAACATCCATAACTAACTCTTCATAAGGAGTTGGCTAAACAGATTTTAAGTATATTCATAACTGCATCTCAAATTAAATACTACATTTAACCATTTTCAAAATATTCTGTAAATGAATTAACCTATTTTACATCTTCGGACAATATATTAAGAACCAGGGAGTGAAAAATGCTCAGTGTTCTTTCTAACAATTTTCCAAGATTAACAAATAAAACTAACATTTGGTACTTTATTTATGGCCACGATTAAGTATCACTAGAACTAGGCTTTCTGCCATAACAATTGCAACGTTTCAGTGAACAGAAAGTCCCAAGATACTTTGACTTCCAAGTGACAATTTAACTTTAAGAACAGAAATGTACCACGTATTTTCAGTATGCTTTTTTGCTAAAATAAGCTCAATTATCCTGAAAACTTTAGCAACTGGTGTCATTATTTCAATACCATTGCAGAACCTCTCCCATTGTTTCAGATTAACCCTTTTTGAAAATAAAAACAATATTCTCTTCCAAGATTAAATTTAAGAACAGAAATTGGAATAAAACATTTGCAATAAATAAGTGTGCAATAAATCTTCAAATGGAGGGATTAATATCCAGGAATACTGCACAATTTAGCTTAATGCACAAAATTGGGGTCTCTAGCTGGATTCCTTAATATTGAGCGTTTCTTTTAAAACGCCGATTACAATTGAAGAGATTTACTTTCATTATCCCTGCAAAGTGTTTCCTAAAACAAAATACCTAACCATTTACCAGCAAGTTCATTACCTAGGCAGTAACAGTCAAGCATTTATTACTATTCCACCGACACTGCTAATTACATTTATAGTATTTATATATTTTTGCAATGTGTTCAGCTTTTCTGTAATTTATTCGTCAACCTACAGGTTAAATGTGAGCAGCCCAGTCGGTTATAAGGACATTGTTCCAATAATTGTGGTTGGAAACAGAATGTTCTCACTGCAAGACTTTGCAGTTTAGTCAGTGCTCAAAAGTATATAACAACGGAAGAATAATATTTCTAACTATGGCTCACAGGTAGTTTATTTGTAGTGAGAAGACCCACAAAGTGTTGATATTTTCCCTCCCCCGTTCAATATCATTTTACCAATGGTTTGTTCCCATGCTCCTATGCATATTACCAATTCCACAGAATGTCTACAACACTAGGATTTCTGGGAAAAAATTAAATTCAGCTTACATCCAACGAAACCAAATTTAATTAAAAAGTCATGGCTATTCAAGATTAAAACAACTTAGAGGAAAACCTTTTCCTGTTACCTCACAGTAAAGCAATACTGTTCGGAGTGAGAGGATCCCTAAACCTTACATTAGGTATACATGTACAGCACAACTACAATGCAAGAAAAAAAAGCAACAGGAAAGAGGGAAATTGCCCAAAGTAGTTATTCAGTGAACCAGTTATCCTTTGATAAAACTACTCTATCTATCCAGTAACAAACTTTCTTGCCAGAAATGTGGGTAATCAAGTGCAAACTTTTTGTGTGTTAAAAAAATCCCAAAATAAGATGGAAAGCTTTTATGGCACAACTATTACCAGGACATTACATTTTTACTTTGTTATATTCAGTGCAATCAATGAAGACTTCCATTGAAGTATTGAAATAATGACGCAGATATGTGATAAGAATAAAGAACTATCTATATACTCGATTTCTTTGAGGAAGTTGGAGTCCCTAAATCAAACTGTACCCGGTGATTTAAAACAGATTAACCCATTTGTGAAACGCTATCAAAAGAGGCAACTCAAGGCCCTGCTTCTCACTTAAGTGTCACTTAATTTCCACCTCTTATTGTTTGATCATTTATAGTGTTCATTTGTAACAAAATGTATAAAGTAAAAAGGCCTGCAGCACCTGGTAAATTAATTCATTTGAACAAAACCAGACTTCATTCTGATTTATGTTCCAGTTTTTGAAAGTAAGGCTGGATTCATTGTCTGCATTACAGTGGAATGGAACTAAACACAGCATTAGCAAGCAGTCTTAGTCTATTAATACACACTTGGCATTGTACAGCCAATAAACTGAATGACAAGTGTGCATTATGGACAAGGGGAATGCAAGTTAAATCCCTTTCACACTGAGTCTGGTTTAAGGCCAGGGTGCAGAAGCTCGAAGCCATCAATAGCTCTATCATTTCAACCAGACAATAGCAACTTCTGTCCTGCAGCATAAGGAAGCATTGCGATCGCTGTTGAATGAGGATTGCAAACACACAACTAAGTGTTCTTCGTAGAAACTAAATCTGATCTCACTATCAAATGTTGGCTGTCAAACAAATCGTGAAGCTTTATCTTCTTATACCATTAGGTTACCTTAGGAGAAAGTGCTGAATAACTGAGTTTTCAACTTTTCGCTACTGAACAGTAGTTCAGCGTGCACTATTAAAAAATAAAAATAATCCTTGCAAATGATATAGCGTCTTATCACATCTTCAAGACGTCTCAAAGTGGTTCAAATCAGCACAAATAAAATGTTGCCTTTCACTTCTGCAACGTTACTCTTCCCCGTAGCAAACAATTCCTCTGCTTTCCTTAACTTAGTCTCAAGACTTAGGTCATAATCAGGCTTTTGAGGTAAAATCTGAAATGTTGCTGTAAATCAACTGGTTATGTGGGCAAGAGTGGAATGTATTTGAAATAATAAAAATAATATCAAGATTCCCGGGAGGGCAACAAGAGTAGACTAAATCACTTACAGCATTTGTTACACATGCATCAATTTGGAGGAAGGAGGGAGCAATAATTTACTGGGAACCACAATTTACATGGTAAGATTAGAATGCAGGAAACTGCATTACAGTCTCACTTATTCAGTTTCTGCTAACCTGATTCTCCACCTCAAAAAGTTGTATCAACTCCTCTTACAACATGGCAGTATCCAAATTAGATTTTTATCTTCAAAATGAATTTGCCCACCACTCCAAAGAAATCCTTAAATAACAAGTGATCAGCGTAGGAAGGCAGGCAGCTAATTGCTCTTGTAACGGGGGATTCTCTGAATTCTAACCTGTTCTTTGAGTGAGTAAATAAAGCACTTAACAAAAGAGGGGGTCCCTTTTTAGATTTTACATGAATGAGTTTGGCACAAGGAGAAAGGTCATGATATTTTTATATAACAAAACATTATTTGCAGTGCTTGAGCTGCTCCTAACATAGGCCTGTGACAGAGCCAATTTATACAACCTTCATATCATTCAAACCACTTTTTAATGAACCGCTTACAGCGATGTACTCATAAGTGGTTTGGATTTATTTTCTCTCTCCCCCCCCCCACCCCCCCCAAACCCGGATAGATCTAGGCTAACCCCCTCCAACAAAAACAGGACCAGTGGATTTTGGTCAGTTTCATTCTGACACCGTTTTAAAAGCCAGATAGACACAGCTATCTGTCTACTGAAGGTTCAAGTCTGGTTTATTTAAAAGCTCACCAGATGGCATACAAAACTTTCCACTCAAAATCACCTGCTAGCACTCCAGTAAAAAGTTTGTTATAAAAATAGATGCTCTGTGAAGCCCACTTCAGCATAAGGTGTAAAATTCTTTGGCAGGTTACCTAACAAGGTGCCTGTCTGCACACACTGGCCCCTCAATCCCTACCCCAAATTGGAAAATAAAAATTCGAAGCGCTAGCTAAACATCAAATGAACTTGAAAAACAAAAAACAAAACAAAAAACAAAACAAAATTGGAGCAAAACAAAACAAATTTAATGATCATAAATGCAAAAGTAAAATCAATTGTCAAACAAAACAAAGGAAACAAAATGAAAAGAAATTATATAATAACAGAACATTAATGAAGTTCAAAGGCAGTTTGAAAAAAACGTTTAGATTAGTTTTCTTTAAATCTATTTTAACAAAGCTTTGTGTTGACAGCTAACCTGTATGAAAAACATTTAAGTACTTTCTATTCTGACGCATTATCCCAGCTTAGCATGTCAATTATGCAAAAAAACAAAAAAAAGTTATTTTTTAAAAAAAATATGCAATGGAGTTCACTAGAAGGGGTGCAACAAACTGGCAAATGTTCAAAAGTTCTAAACATTCAAAATGACTGCATTACGTGCAGAATCAATCATGCATTGCATTATGCTTTCCAAATCTAGTCTTCCCAGATGAAACTTTGGCAACTGTGTTAAAACTAACAAAGCACCTGCTCTATATACTTATACTGTAAATTCCTAATTTTGCATTATAATCAGCTCACAGCTGAAGCCTTTCCCCTATATATTGTTAATGCTTTCCTCAGAAATTAACTTTCCAAAACTTTGACTGCCTCCATATTTCATGAAAACTTGGGAGGAAATAAGTGACATTTACAGTATTTACAAGATCCTATCGAGAACACGGCTTACAATTTCGATGGATTTAATGGCGTGAGTATTAAGTTTATGGGCACAAATCGAGCAGATTTTAATTCAAGTGGGATGACTAACTGGCAATGTGATTCATGCATTTATGAAACTTTTCCCAAATGGAAACAGCATCCAAACAAGAACTGCTAGTTGTACAACTAAATAGTTATTTGAAAAAGGAATGACTACTGAATAGTGTGCATATTAAAGTAATATTACTTCAAAATCTTAGAAATTTCTACACTGTTCTGGACGTCCCCTCAGAGCTTCTGGGGTGTGGGGGAAAAGAGATATGAAAGGAAAGGTATCAAACATTTGAACATTTCATGTTAGTTGCATCCCAGAGTACTAATAATATAAAAAAAATCCTTTTCACTTATTCTTCTAGAATGGTAGACAAAACACTTCTGTCACAACAATAAGAGTTGTATTACACTAGTGGACTTATTCACCTTTCAGCAGTGTATTTCTAATCAAATGCTTACAAACACGCACAAGCTTTATATTACGCCTTGTGTGACTTGCTGGTTTTGAAGGAGACTTGAAGGATTTTGTCTCCGAGGCGATAGCCATTCAGGCTAGCAATGGCCATGGCAGCCTCTTCATAGTTTGTCATGGTTACAAAGCCGAACCCTTTGCATTTGTTGGTGTTGAAATCGCGTATAACTTTCACATTGGTCACAGCTCCGAATGGGCCAAACATCTGCCAGAGGATCCCCTCGTCCGCGTCTTGGCCCAGGTTGTAGATGAAGATGCACCAGCCGGATGGATTGTGACCACCAACGCTCACACCCGACAAACTACTCATATTGTCAACACTCATCGGTGAAAACCTACCAAACAAATAAGAAAATTAACTCAAGAAATGGTTGCCACAAGCCCCGAGAATGACAAAACTGATAAAATTCTTCTCTCCCAAATAAATTGTGCGCTAGCATACCACGCCAACAGGAAGAAGAAATCTAATGGCATGATTTAATCTGAATTGATTCAAACTGGGTGACATGTTGCCTCCCTAGTCCAGGGATCACAAGGCTAAATGCAGTATCACTACTGCTGCCTGGCTGCGAGCTAACTCAGAAAAGATGGGGAGTATTCTCATCTCAATGATTCAGTTCTACACTGTGTCTATCAATGGAGCCATTTTCTCAGTGTGGTTGAAACCCCCTGTAGGCCAAGTAATTGTTCATTGATTCTTCTATTCTCTTATCCCAAAATCTTTTCAGTACTGGGAGGTGAAGAGTCGGTTGCACACCTGAATCGCTGTGCCTGATGGTGGAGTGGTCCTGGGAACCGCCTTGCTGGTGAATGGTATAACTGTGCCAGCAGGGATGCGTTCGTTTTCTGGTTGGGATTGGCTGCAAGTTTCACTGTAATTGGCTCCACAGCACCGGGTGGTTTGTGCCCATTCAGATTCTTTATAGCTTCATCGGCCTCAGATTTCCTGTCAAAACGAATAAAAGCAACTCCCCTGGACATACCTGAAAATAAAACAGCCAAAATGAAAATGCTGGAGGACAACCAAAAACAGGACTGCTGATGTGATAATAGTCAGCTGTTAGAACAGCACTAGACATCTGCGATCTCCAAAACCAGACAGAAATCTGAGTCACCCGGCACACATTGAAACATAGATTGCATTAATGCAAGCATAACCCTACCAAACACAATGTTTGATCTTTCACATCTGCAACAAAACAATTCAATTAAAAGTAACAGAGATGAATGAATGGCAACCAAAGATTTGCTATCATTTTAAGATGCTCAACTCCATCCTTTAACGGCCTGTGGATCCACTAAACCTGCCACCTACCTATGCGAACTGGCCAATTTGTTTGGTTTTCAGCTAATACATCAAGTCTGAAGCATTTACCACTCTATTATTGTAACATTAAAATAGAAAATATGCTAACGTGTTTCCTTCTACCCTCTCATTTTTATCTTCTCGCAGCACCCTCTATCCCTCTCCCCACTGAATGTAATCAAAATCTACTTACCTCCATACTCTCCCATGCAGGCCCTCATCCTCTATTTTAGAGACAAGAAAAACTTTTAAACTGGACCTCAATGGCTGGAAACCAGTTTTAAAAGAAAAGTTTTGAAGCCAATCAAAGATGCAAAATATAAAGAATGGCACAATTGGTTTATAGATGCCATCATGTTAATTGCCAATGTACTTGCGTATGCCAAACCAGGAAAAGGGGTTACAAAAAAAGTATTTTTAAATGGAGCTTGTAACCTAAATACTGTAAAATCACTTTCTAACACACTTCATTATAATATGGGTTCACTCATAATACAATGACATTATCTAACGTACCACCCTTAATCCCACCAACTGAATCAGTCATCGCACTTCAAATCATGCTGGAAATCACGTTGTCATGTTTCAAAACAATGGTGTTTGAATTGCAGTAAAGCAACTTCCAGCCTATTGCAGGCTGGTTGAGCCGGTGGGTTTTCTGGACGGTGAGTTCACCAGACGTGATCGGTAAACGCGAGCAGAAGCGCTAAGCGGTGGCCACTCCTGATCATGCCCCATCATAAGATGGGGCTGGAATTTTATGGACACTCCAACTACTACCTAAGCAGAGTCCAAATGTAATAACAAATGCCCAAACTAAATATAAAATTAAACTTGGGGTATGAGCTACAAAAATCAAATCAAAAAACACATACTTTGTAACAAATCGCAAACTTAAATCTAATAAGTAAAATTCAAATTCAAACCTAATAATAATCCTTACATTTGATATAGCACTTTTCAAGTCTTCTAGACATCTCAAAGCTCTTCACAGAATATACTGTTAAGTGACTTGACTATATTTGTGGGCAAAATGTGGCAGTCAATTATGCACAGCAGTGTCCCACAAACAGTTGTGGATTGAAGTGACCAATTTTGTTATTGTTTTTTTTTCTTGAGGGATTATTATCACGTGTGCATATAATTAAACTTTTCAATAGAAATCTGGATCACTAAACACAACACATTATGCAAAAATTAGGACTCTATTGTGAAAAGTTTAGTTGATAACTGACATTAAATTAGGAACCTAATTTGAATCCATACAGGATTATAAATGATATTTGACAACAACTTACATACAAGCGAGACCAAATATACTATAAATAATCGATAAATGGAAAATTTTATTTCTGCATGGTCTGCAAAATTACATCAACAGCAAAGACTATTTTGGCTTTGATTTCTCTCCATTTTAAATCAGCCGAGGTTAGCGAGCACATCTACCAAATTTGCTTTGCATGAAACTGCAAGCATTGAGTACAAATATTTATCTGAGTTTAGCCAATATGCAATCATGTGACACTTTATACCAGGTTAGCTTTTCTAAATATACATGGTGGCAAAAGAAAATTATTAGACCAAAACTTAGCTATCTGATGTCCAGGTAGGACCCTCAAAGTGCTCAACGAATTCTCATCTGGACGAGATCAGGTTGAGTAATGGCATAACTTGTCCAGTGGTTGCATTTCCTGGTTGGACATTTTAAAATGCATCAAAATTACAACTGAGCCCTCCACAAAGTCATAGGTTTGACCCTTTCCCCAAACCCTTGGCTCACATTTGGATCAGTACTGGGATGGAAAACAGCCAGAGCAGTACTGCACAGCTCTTTCTGACACCTGGAGGGCAGCACTAGAACAAGGTGCCCACCATTTTGGCATCAGTCCTGGAAATTCATGGCAGCCCAAGGTATAAAATAAGCAGACCAAGGTTAAAACCATACAGCCAATTTTGTAGTTTGTAAAAGTTTGCTAAGTACTAATGCCTGTACTAATGCAACATCGAGAATTTCTGAATAAAAGTGCATGATCTCCAGAATGGGTTAGTCCAGTTGAATACTTAAAACAAGCAATTTCTTTTTAAAACAAAAGCTTGCCCCAAAATATATCTGTTCAGCGCTGCTGAGATTAGCAAGGGGGTAGAAATGGGGGCTCAACTACCTGCATAAATGTTCCTACAAGAAACAGTTAAAACACTATAAAGCTCTTTTTGAGGAACTCAATTGACAAAATGTAGCCTTCCTTAACTTTCGGGGAAATGTTCATTGGCTTGTGATGTGTGTGTTGATGAATAATCCACTACCTGTCCAGCTTTGCATACATAATAGTCACTTGGCTGAAGTACTGGAGAGCTGCTGGCACACGAGTAGTGAATAAGGGAAGCGCCCCTTTATTTACAAACATGACCAAAATAAATGCAAGTACACCTATGTGCTTAAATAAACATGTATGCCACTCACCTGATACTTGGTCAACAAGGACACGGGATGTAATGATGCGACCATAGCGTCCGAAGAGCTGTTCCAAATCTTTTTGCGTCATCGTTTTTGGCAGCCCGCTCACGTACAGGTTTGCATCCTTGATGCTATCGGAGCTTGGTCGGGCATAGGAAACCTTCAAAAGAAAGTCGTAACCATTAGAGGCATTGCTAAGGAATTTACAACATTTACAACAATTACAACATTTACAAGTATGTCTGGAATGTCGATACTTCTGCGGGAAAGTAAAGGACATTTTACCAATAAATTACTTTAATAGAGTTTCTCACAATGAAACACTTCCTTTGAAAACTTACAGCCCATTTTCCCCTCTTCCCAAGCGACATATATCTAGTGCTGAGAGTGAAGCAGGCCAAGCTGCTCAACTAGCAGGAAGACATTACTTCTGTGCACAGACTTCACTGGAGAGAATAGGAGTCCTATCTTGCTGACTTCCCACAACTCTTACTTGATATTGTTGTTCCAATAGCAATGTGATCCAGCAGCAATTTCACTTTTCATAACTACATAAATATCACCAGGCATGTGCTTTGAAAATTATTACTGGGGAACATTTCCACAACATTAAAATACTCACTAACCTTACGATACTATGCCTCTTACCTTTATAGTTTTTGACTGGAGCCTCAGACCATTGAGTGTGTTAATGGCTCGCTCCGCATCTTTGTGGTCCACATAATTCACAAACCCGTATCCAAGGCTGTGTCCTGTTTAAAAAAAATTGGTCACAAATAGTAATGGGAACCAACTCGCTCTCTCAAGGATGAGACTCCCATTCAAAGTGCATTTTGTACAGAGAACCAAAATTCTGTCAACCATGTTAGGTGTTGTTAAGCTTGCCTTGGAGACAGCACTCACGCCTCTGAGTCAGAAGTTTGTGGTTTAAATCCCACCTTGGGACTTGGAATCATGGGCTAAATTGACTCTCCAATACGGTGCTGGGGGATGTGCGCATTATCAGAGATGCCATTATTTGGACGAAACATTAAACCGAGGTCCCACCCGCCTGTTCAAGTCGACGTTAAAAGATTCCATGGCACTGTTCAAAAAGAAAAGGGAGTTTCCTGTTTTGTGGGACATTGCTGTGTGCAACTGGCTGCTGCATTTCATCCACAAGATCCAGTCAAAAAAACCTTTACAGTAAATCCTGTTCAGCACTTTGAGACATCCTGACAACGTGATAAGACATTGTATCAAATGCAAGGATTATTAAGTGAATTTTTTTTTGTAAATTACCTACCTAAATGAAATTGTTAAGATTAATGAGATCAGACACATAATCTTAAACTACTCCCTTTCAAATATAACTTGCAAATCCTCCCCTCTCCCCACTGTTTGTCAATCACTTTCAATTCACCTATCAACAAGATGAAACTACTACCACAAGTACTGTCCAACTATGGTCTGTCTCTAAGGACTCTAGAGATGGAGGCAGCTTCACAGTGGGAAAGCCTATTACCAAGGTCCCTCACATGGATTAAGCAACTGGTGCTGAGTAAAGCTGACATTGAACTTAGATCTCGAGAAGAGTTGTTAGGGTATGGAATGCACTGCCTGAAAAGGTGGTGGAAACAGATTCAATAACAACCTTCAAAAGGAAATTGGATAAGTACTTGAAGAGGAAAAATTTGCAAAGATATGGGGAAAGTGTGAGGGAGTGGGACTAGTTGGATAGCTCTTCCAAAGCGCTGGTACAGGCACGATGGGCCGAATGGCGTGCTTCTGTGCTGTAATATTCTATGAACGTCAAGGTGCTGGCACGTAGCAAGCTATCCTGTCATGCTGAAGGCAGATCTGCCAGATAGCTATGAGGAAAATGAGGTATGGGGCGACAGCTGCTGGAAAGTGTTACCTGGAGTCCAAATTCGTGAACATTTGGTTCATACATCCAACACTTGGAATCCACCTTGATTGGCTTGCAGAGTGGTAAGTAGCTACTGCTTAAAATCAGCACCTCCAATTGGTGGAACGGACACATGTCCAAGCTGTGTTGCTCCAAGGGAGCTGAACTGGCTCCATGGCGTCATTTTTGGCAAGGGAATGTCAGAATCGAGCCCACCCTCTGTGGTGTTCTCGGGAGTCCAGTACCTGAGCCAGGTGGGTCTGCAATATTCCACGTCACTGCTGATGACAGAACAGCCAGGCTGGCTCAATGGTATGACTTGGAAGGGCGGACCAGTCACTGGGGCCACAGGGTCTGTTTCCACTCAGCTCCCTTTTACCCTGAAAGCCAAAGCCCTAAGGGGTAGGGTGGTCCTAGCTGGACAAGCAGCAGGAATGTATTCTCCCAACCTGAAACGCACTATATAAATGCAATTTTGTTGTTGTTCTTGAAGCTTGCCAGGCAATGCTCTCAATGACAAGCTATGTGGTTTTAGCTGGTTGGACTCCAGTAGTACCCCAACGCACACTCTGGTGCTTCCATAACTTTCTGGAATTAGGTAAGCAGGATGCATCCCTCCAGGGAATTTCCATGTGTGTATGGGATGGTTTGGATACTCTTACGCATGGTGATGGGTTTCCACATGTGAGACATCCAGCTGACCAAAAAACACTGGTTGACAAATAACAACAACAACAACAACAACAAGATTCCATTTATAGAGCGCCTTTCACGTCAGGAGGACGTCCCAAGGCGCTGCACAGTTGGGTCATGACCCGAGCAGGGGGAAATGGTCAGGGTGAGGGGAGGGAGGGAGAGAGGAGGGGGGAAATGGTCAGGGTGAGGGGAGGGAAGGGAGGGAGCGAGGAGGAGGAAGAGAGTCGAGAGGGGAGCTGAAGGCTCGGTCAAAGAGAAAGGTTTTGAGACCGGCCTTGAAGGAGGAAAGGGAGGAAGCAAGGCGAAGGCACTGGGGAATGGAGTTCCAGAGCCTCGGGGCTGAGAGGCTGAAGGCCCGACCACCGATAGTAGGGCGGTTGGGGCGGGGGACGTGGAGCAGACCGGAGCCAGAGGAACGGAGGGTACGGGCAGGTAGGTAGGGGGATAGTAGGTTGGAGAGGTAGGAGGGAGCAAGGCCGTGAATGGCCTTGTAGGTGAGGATGAGGATCTTGAAATCAATCCTCTGGGGGATGGGGAGCCAGTGGAGGCGAGCGAGGTAGGAGTGATGTGGTCCCGAAGCCTGGTGCGGGACAGTACACGAGCTGCAGAGTTCTGAATGACCTGCAGCTTGTGGAGGGAGGTGGCGGGAAGGCCGGCGAGGAGAGAGTTCCCATAGTCCAGCCTTGAGGTGACAAAGGCGTGAACCAGGGTTTCAGCAGCGTGAGGGGTGAGGTAGTGCCGTAATCTGGCGATATTCCGGAGGTGATGGAAGGCGGTGCCAGTTGTGGTGCGGATGTGAGGGAGAAAGGACAGCTCAGGGTCGAACAAAACGCCGAGGTTCCTGACTGGCTTTGAGAGGTGGAGAGTGCAGCCTTGGATGCTGATGGTGTCAGCGCCTGAGGTGCGGAGGCGCTGACGTGAGCCAATCAGGAGGGCCTCGGTTTTTCGCACGTTGAGCTGAAGAAAGTTGTCTCTCGTCCAGGACTCGATGTCGGACAGGCAGGCTGTCAGGACATCGGTGGTCGTGGAGTTGAGAGTAGAGGAGGAAAGGTAGAGTTGGGTGTCATCCGCATACATGTGGAAGTTAACCCCATGTTTGCGGATGATGTCACCGAGGGGGAGCATATAGAGGGTGAAGAGGAGGGGACCGAGGACAGAGCCCTGAGGGACACCACATGAGACAGTACGGGGGGTGGAGGAGAAGCCATTCGTTGAGACGAAGTGAAGACGGTGGCCAAAAATAAGGCCAAAAACCCTATCTTAAGCTTCCTGTATGATTTTATTCAGCTCTTTGCTAACACTTACAATATCAAAATTAAATAACTACACTGCAATTCAGTTATCCCCACTAAGTTTCATAATTGAATATGAATCAAATCTTACCCTAAAGCTGTACTGGTCATCGCATCCTTCTGCAGGACACATTTACCAGAGAGGAAATGCATGAAAATGCAGGGGAACACTTCCAGTGTACACACACTATAGTGTCTACATGCCAAGCTATATTTTCTTGAAGTCTATGCAACTGAGCAACAGCAAACTCAATTTTAAATATGGAAATGCCAGATAAGGATAATGTCATAAGCAGCACGTAGGCAGAAGATTCAATAAAATGGCTTTAATTCAGTTAGGTAGCCTAAATGGACTTCAAAACACGCACAGATATGGTAAATACTGAGATTTTTTTTAACATTTCCACAATTGATGTAATCTTAACAAAGATTTTCACTTGGCTGTTAGCAAAATCCATTCCATGCAAGCTTCTGAATGCCCAACTCAAAGCAGTAGTGATTAAAGCCTAGATGCATCTTGAAAACATCCCTCACACTGCTGGCAGCAAGTCAACATGACCTGTGGAGAAGAGGGATTTGATGCTATACTCTCTTGAATCTCGTGATTTGAAAAATGAAGGCAAAGGTACACCAAAAATAGGCAGGTGATAAAAAGGGAGACAAAAATACAATATAATTTACATTTGTATAGTGCCTTTCACGTCAAGAGGATGTCTCAAATCGCTGTAAATAGTGAACTGTGAAAAGCAATACTAAAACAAGAATCCAAAGGATGGCAGAGGAGCAGGTAATTTTAAATAATGGCGCAAAGAGAGGTAAAAAGAAATGCCATGGGATAAATAGTCACCATCAAAACTCACGGTGTTTACAGCTTTTTAAAAAATATTACGTTTTTCTGCACCCTTCCTTTAAACAGTGAATCTTGCAGGGTTGGGAGAAAACTGCTAGGAGAGATAACGGATTGGGAAGAATTACCTTTGCCAATACAAGAGCACACTTAATGAATCTTGATTTACATTGATAAATGAAATTGCAATTTAACAACCCTAAACAATTTCCCCAAGGAGATCACCACTATTCAATATTGTGTGTTCGCTCAACTTTAAATTCCCCGTGCAGTCAAATAACTTGCAAACAAAGGATGACAATTTGGAAGATTTTGGTAGCCAGCACAGCGGAATCGCAACCCACATGCTTATTATGAGCATGAGACATAAGCCAACGACAGATTATTCAATAGAAGGCAGTAAATTTTAGGAAAAAAGTCACCTGTGGAAACAAAGCCTTCAAGAGAAGAAATTGAGCCTGGTTATTTTTGCGAAATTAGTTGCATTTTGCTGTGGCTTAAACACCTTACAATATCATAGTCAATCACGAAACAGCATAAGAAATCCCTGACTTTTAGCATTTTGGCAATATTTGCAGCACCTAGCTTATTAACAGGAAAAAACAAATATTGGGTTGTTACGACTATGTCAGCAGTTTAAATCAAGTCTACAATGTCAACAGCTGGGATACAAACTTATATTTATAGCTCTGGATTACAAAATTGAAATCAGATGTAATATTGACCCTTTATTTTGTAATCAAATGTATTGCACACTAGGGCACTGAGGTACTGAAAAGCACCACACAAAATGTAATCTCTGCTCTATACTGACTTAGTTGATCACAGCTCAAACATCAGTAGACAGTAGTAGCCTTCTCAATCAGCAACATTCAGAATAGATGCAATGAAAGGGCAGCAAAACACTTTCATTAAAACAAATAGGACTTCTATGTGACCCAGTCAATCGCATGGAAATAAACAGCAGACATTAAACTGCTTATTTCAACATGGAAGGACATCACAGCAGTAGTAATAGTTTCTGAAAACCAAATGATACTATAAAAATCAAACAGTTAACATTATAATGGGCTTTGTTATAACATGTATTCCCTCACAGCATGCATGGGGAATGAATTGCAACATTTACTTACCAATAAAATCCAAAATGTGCATAGAAATCTGTACAGTTCGCTTCAAACCACTCTTTCGCATTTCAAAATGATTGTATGCCTGTCTGCGCACTAGAAATGGTCCAGTTCTGGGTCAACAGACTGTTGCCTATGTCACTTCTCATGCAGTATGCAGAAAGTGACATTGGTGGCAATCCAATCACCCAAAAGATGGTCACGTTTAACATAGGACACAAGCCTGTTTTTTTTTTGTATGCATGAACAGTGAATGCAGAAGTTTACCCTGTTATAAGGTGGGTTTGAAATTTATGGACCCCCAATTACCACATTTATAACAGGTCCCTATTGCACATTGTGTACCAAGATAGAACATAAATTAAGTTTCAAAATTCAATCAATGTAAATGGAGGGGCAAGATTTACCATGGAGCAAACTGCAAAAATCTCATCCTAATGATGGAACAGCTGCTGCCACTGTTATTGCACAGCTGGTAAAACTACAGGGTAGCACTAAACTTCACAGACCCGAGGGACCCAGGTTCGAATGTCCAGTCTGTGCTAAGTCATCTGCTCTGAGTCGGGGCAGCAGTTAGGTGCTACAAATGAACTCAGCTCTCTGGACCAGGGAAAAAGAAAATGCGAGTTCACACCCCTGATAAGCTCTAATGAGCCCTGCTGGAAAGTGCACACATGGTATTGGACGAGAATTGTACATTTCAGTCCGTGATGCGTTACACAGTGGAATAGTCTGCTGAGAGTGAAGCTAACTTGTAAGGAATGACTAGTTGAATATAATTTTGCAAATTATATAGTACAAAGTCACATAGACTACAAGGTTGCAGGTTCACTGACTAGCTTGAGTCAAATTTGTTAATCTCAGACAGCACAGTGGCTGAGGCACTGCAACTTCTACCACTATTCATGAAAAAAATATTATCATGGATTAAAATTAACATCAAAACAGAGTTACCACTTCTAATCATTATTCAGAAATCTCCACTGGAAAGTACATACAAGGAAATTTGGCAAGATCAGAATGGAGTTCAGGCTTGATGCCCTCCATGATGGAATACCCTGCTAATTTCATTTCAGACATCTCGAAGATGTGATAAGGCGCTATACCAAATGCAAGGATTATTATTATTATTCTCTGTGAATGGGCACTTAAGCAACAGATACCTGTGCAACTGCACATCTGCATGAGTCAATACCTTCAAGAGAAAAATAAAATGCAAAGAACAGCAAAACTATTTAAAGTTTAAATAGGCAGATATCTGTAGACAGGAGAAAAAGAAAGTTCTGCATTTTAAAACGAAGACAGTATTTCATAATAGCCACTTTGACGCCTTTCTTCTTCACACATTGGTCCTTTACTGCAGTCAAATTACTTTTAACACACGATGCCCTCTGCTGTAGAACAGTACTTAGTCCAAGATAAAACCCAGCTTTCACTGTAGAGAAAATCTACAGACATGCCCCAACTTTCGTTTTCAGTAGTCCATTGTTTTGTTACAATAGCAACATCAAGTACGAACGAAATGCATGGCCTTTCCCACTTAACTGAGTCAGGAGGACTTCTTCAGATTCAATGTTTCCAGCAGCTCGTTTCAAAGAAATTAAGCAGAAGAAAAAAAGTGAAAATCTAAGTGGCTATCAGAGATTCACTTAGTATCTAAGAAGAATTAAAAAAGCAGCATTGGCTGCGACTTTACCTTTATGGTCCTTACCTGCGACCTTGTCGCGGATCAGTTTGGCAGACTCCACCTCTCCTATGCTACCAAAAAGGCTTCGCAGCTCATCCTGCGTCATGTTCTGAGGCAGGTAGTTGACAATTAAGTTGGTTCTCGCATTGTCATCCCCGTGATCCTTGCATTCCTCAGCCATGAGATCGAGTTCTCCTTGGTAACCGTTACCGTAGCAAGAGGAGTCGTTTGACATTTCACAAACAAAATCTCACCTGTGGAGGAAAAAATTACAATTCACATATCATATATATATATATAGGAGCAACACAGACAGCAATACTAATCAACTGGAAGAACTAATAATGGTGTATGGAGGAATGGGATAGAAGAGAGGGAGATAGGAAGGCTATAGGAAGACATTTTCCCTTTCACGTGCAAGGATTTACATTAAAAAAGTTGGCTAAGAATTATCAGACAAGGAAATGGGCTTCATTTCAATGTATTCTTTGAAGTGAAAGTGTATTCATGTCAGAAAAGGACAGTCCATTTTTCCTTAAATTGTACTACTGAACCACAGTTAAGTAATGGCTCATTATTTCTGTTATTTTTGTACGTTATTCCAAAATTTCACAGAAAACTAAACTAAAATTGAGAACAGACGGTACCAAAAAGATGCAATGATATCACGAGAGCCAGCCTGCAATCCACACAGTTGAATTAATATGTTATCTGATGATCAACAGAAATATGAAGAGCTAAATGATAGCACTCAGAACTCAAGAAAACAAAAAGACATCAAGACAGACTATTCACAGGGTAAAATATTTTACATCCCACAATTCATCATATACCTTTTAGATTAGAAGATTCGGTATGCATCAAATTGTAAATTTATAGAAGCCGAAATCATAGAAAAAAAAGGAAAGACAAATCAAGAGAAATTAACCAAAGTATATGTATAGTTTGAGCTAATCTTTCTTTTCACTGCTGCTCACCAACATTGACTTCTTTCAAACCAAGAAAAGAATTCCAACAAAAAGGAAATGTGCTACTGCAGCATTACTCTTTTGAGGGCGACACTTCCAACCAATATCTTGAACAAGGGCCTCTCTGAGAAATGCTCTAACATCCAGTAGTACCCCAACGCACACTCTGGTGCTTCCATAACTTTCTGGAATTAGGTAAGCAGGATGCATCCCTCCAGGGAATTTCCATGTGTGTATGGGATGGTTTGGATACTCTTACGCATGGTGATGGGTTTCCACATGTGAGACATCCAGCTGACCAAAAAACACTGGTTGACAAATAAGACCAAAAACCCTATCTTAAGCTTCCTGTATGATTTTATTCAGCTCTTTGCTAACACTTACAATATCAAAATTAAATAACTACACTGCAATTCAGTTATCCCCACTAAGTTTGATAATTGAATATGAATCAAATCTTACCCTAAAGCTGTACTGGTCATCGCATCCTTCTGCAGGACACATTTACCAGAGAGGAAATGCATGAAAATGCAGGGGAACACTTCCAGTGTACACACACTATAGTGTCTACATGCCAAGCTATATTTTCGTGAAGTCTATGCAACTGAGCAACAGCAAACTCAATTTTAAATATGGAAATGCCAGATAAGGATAATGTCATAAGCAGCACGTAGGCAGAAGATTCAATAAAATGGCTTTAATTCAGTTAGGTAGCCTAAATGGACTTCAAAACACGCACAGATATGGTAAATACTGAGATTTTTTTTAACATTTCCACAATTGATGTAATCTTAACAAAGATTTTCACTTGGCTGTTAGCAAAATCCATTCCATGCAAGCTTCTGAATGCCCAACTCAAAGCAGTAGTGATTAAAGCCTAGATGCATCTTGAAAACATCCCTCACACTGCTGGCAGCAAGTCAACATGACCTGTGGAGAAGAGGGATTTGATGCTATACTCTCTTGAATCTCGTGATTTGAAAAATGAAGGCAAAGGTACACCAAAAATAGGCAGGTGATAAAAAGGGAGACAAAAATACAATATAATTTACATTTGTATAGTGCCTTTCACGTCAAGAGGATGTCTCAAATCGCTGTAAATAGTGAACTGTGAAAAGCAATACTAAAACAAGAATCCAAAGGATGGCAGAGGAGCAGGTAATTTTAAATAATGGCGCAAAGAGAGGTAAAAAGAAATGCCATGGGATAAATAGTCACCATCAAAACTCACGGTGTTTACAGCTTTTTTAAAAAATATTACGTTTTTCTGCACCCTTCCTTTAAACAGTGAATCTTGCAGGGTTGGGAGAAAACTGCTAGGAGAGATAACGGATTGGGAAGAATTACCTTTGCCAATACAAGAGCACACTTAATGAATCTTGATTTACATTGATAAATGAAATTGCAATTTAACAACCCTAAACAATTTCCCCAAGGAGATCACCACTATTCAATATTGTGTGTTCGCTCAACTTTAAATTCCCCGTGCAGTCAAATAACTTGCAAACAAAGGATGACAATTTGGAAGATTTTGGTAGCCAGCACAGTGGAATCGCAACCCACATGCTTATTATGAGCATGAGACATAAGCCAACGACAGATTATTCAATAGAAGGCAGTAAATTTTAGAAAAAAAAAGTCACCTGTGGAAACAAAGCCTTCAAGAGAAGAAATTGAGCCTGGTTATTTTTGCGAAATTAGTTGCATTTTGCTGTGGCTTAAACACCTTACAATATCATAGTCAATCACGAAACAGCATAAGAAATCCCTGACTTTTAGCATTTTGGCAATATTTGCAGCACCTAGCTTATTAACAGGAAAAAACAAATATTGGGTTGTTACGACTATGTCAGCAGTTTAAATCAAGTCTACAATGTCAACAGCTGGGATACAAACTTATATTTATAGCTCTGGATTACAAAATTGAAATCAGATGTAATATTGACCCTTTATTTTGTAATCAAATGTATTGCACACTAGGGCACTGAGGTACTGAAAAGCACCACACAAAATGTAATCTCTGCTCTATACTGACTTAGTTGATCACAGCTCAAACATCAGTAGACAGTAGTAGCCTTCTCAATCAGCAACATTCAGAATAGATGCAATGAAAGGGCAGCAAAACACTTTCATTAAAACAAATAGGACTTCTATGTGACCCAGTCAATCGCATGGAATAAACAGCAGACATTAAACTGCTTATTTCAACATGGAAGGACATCACAGCAGTAGTAATAGTTTCTGAAAACCAAATGATACTATAAAAATCAAACAGTTAACATTATAATGGGCTTTGTTATAACATGTATTCCCTCACAGCATGCATGGGGAATGAATTGCAACATTTACTTACCAATAAAATCCAAAATGTGCATAGAAATCTGTACAGTTCGCTTCAAACCACTCTTTCGCATTTCAAAATGATTGTATGCCTGTCTGCGCACTAGAAATGGTCCAGTTCTGGGTCAACAGACTGTTGCCTATGTCACTTCTCATGCAGTATGCAGAAAGTGACATTGGTGGCAATCCAATCACCCAAAAGATGGTCACGTTTAACATAGGACACAAGCCTGTTTTTTTTTTGTATGCATGAACAGTGAATGCAGAAGTTTACCCTGTTATAAGGTGGGTTTGAAATTTATGAATAAATGCAAGTACACCTATGTGCTTAAATAAACATGTATGCCACTCACCTGATACTTGGTCAACAAGGACACGGGATGTAATGATGCGACCATAGCGTCCGAAGAGCTGTTCCAAATCTTTTTGCGTCATCGTTTTTGGCAGCCCGCTCACGTACAGGTTTGCATCCTTGATGCTATCGGAGCTTGGTCGGGCATAGGAAACCTTCAAAAGAAAGTCGTAACCATTAGAGGCATTGCTAAGGAATTTACAACATTTACAACAATTACAACATTTACAAGTATGTCTGGAATGTCGATACTTCTGCGGGAAAGTAAAGGACATTTTACCAATAAATTACTTTAATAGAGTTTCTCACAATGAAACACTTCCTTTGAAAACTTACAGCCCATTTCCCCCTCTTCCCAAGCGACATATATCTAGTGCTGAGAGTGAAGCAGGCCAAGCTGCATCGCGCAAGTGCACATGAGCAGCTCAACTAGCAGGTAAACATTACTTCTGTGCACAGACTTCACTGGAGAGAATAGGAGTCCTATCTTGCTGACTTCCCACAACTCTTACTTGATATTGTTGTTCCAATAGCAATGTGATCCAGCAGCAATTTCACTTTTCATAACTACATAAATATCACCAGGCATGTGCTTTGAAAATTATTACTGGGGAACATTTCCACAACATTACAATACTCACTAACCTTACGATACTATGCCTCTTACCTTTATAGTTTTTGACTGGAGCCTCAGACCATTGAGTGTGTTAATGGCTCGCTCCGCATCTTTGTGGTCCACATAATTCACAAACCCGTATCCAAGGCTGTGTCCTGTTTAAAAAAAATTGGTCACAAATAGTAATGGGAACCAACTCGCTCTCTCAAGGATGAGACTCCCATTCAAAGTGCATTTTGTACAGAGAACCAAAATTCTGTCAACCATGTTAGGTGTTGTTAAGCTTGCCTTGGAGACAGCACTCACGCCTCTGAGTCAGAAGTTTGTGGTTTAAATCCCACCTTGGGACTTGGAATCATGGGCTAAATTGACTCTCCAATACGGTGCTGGGGGATGTGCGCATTATCAGAGATGCCATTATTTGGACGAAACATTAAACCGAGGTCCCACCCGCCTGTTCAAGTCGACGTTAAAAGATTCCATGGCACTGTTCAAAAAGAAAAGGGAGTTTCCTGTTTTGTGGGACATTGCTGTGTGCAACTGGCTGCTGCATTTCATCCACAAGATCCAGTCAAAAAAACCTTTACAGTAAATCCTGTTCAGCACTTTGAGACATCCTGACAACGTGATAAGACATTGTATCAAATGCAAGGATTATTAAGTGAATTTTTTTTTGTAAATTACCTACCTAAATGAAATTGTTAAGATTAATGAGATCAGACACATAATCTTAAACTACTCCCTTTCAAATATAACTTGCAAATCCTCCCCTCTCCCCACTGTTTGTCAATCACTTTCAATTCACCTATCAACAAGATGAAACTACTACCACAAGTACTGTCCAACTATGGTCTGTCTCTAAGGACTCTAGAGATGGAGGCAGCTTCACAGTGGGAAAGCCTATTACCAAGGTCCCTCACATGGATTAAGCAACTGGTGCTGAGTAAAGCTGACATTGAACTTAGATCTCGAGAAGAGTTGTTAGGGTATGGAATGCACTGCCTGAAAAGGTGGTGGAAACAGATTCAATAACAACCTTCAAAAGGAAATTGGATAAGTACTTGAAGAGGAAAAATTTGCAAAGATATGGGGAAAGTGTGAGGGAGTGGGACTAGTTGGATAGCTCTTCCAAAGCGCTGGTACAGGCACGATGGGCCGAATGGCGTGCTTCTGTGCTGTAATATTCTATGAACGTCAAGGTGCTGGCACGTAGCAAGCTATCCTGTCATGCTGAAGGCAGATCTGCCAGATAGCTATGAGGAAAATGAGGTATGGGGCGACAGCTGCTGGAAAGTGTTACCTGGAGTCCAAATTCGTGAACATTTGGTTCATACATCCAACACTTGGAATCCACCTTGATTGGCTTGCAGAGTGGTAAGTAGCTACTGCTTAAAATCAGCACCTCCAATTGGTGGAACGGACACATGTCCAAGCTGTGTTGCTCCAAGGGAGCTGAACTGGCTCCATGGCGTCATTTTTGGCAAGGGAATGTCAGAATCGAGCCCACCCTCTGTGGTGTTCTCGGGAGTCCAGTACCTGAGCCAGGTGGGTCTGCAATATTCCACGTCACTGCTGATGACAGAACAGCCAGGCTGGCTCAATGGTATGACTTGGAAGGGCGGACCAGTCACTGGGGCCACAGGGTCTGTTTCCACTCAGCTCCCTTTTACCCTGAAAGCCAAAGCCCTAAGGGGTAGGGTGGTCCTAGCTGGACAAGCAGCAGGAATGTATTCTCCCAACCTGAAACGCACTATATAAATGCAATTTTGTTGTTGTTCTTGAAGCTTGCCAGGCAATGCTCTCAATGACAAGCTATGTGGTTTTAGCTGGTTGGACTCCAGTAGTACCCCAACGCACACTCTGGTGCTTCCATAACTTTCTGGAATTAGGTAAGCAGGATGCATCCCTCCAGGGAATTTCCATGTGTGTATGGGATGGTTTGGATACTCTTACGCATGGTGATGGGTTTCCACATGTGAGACATCCAGCTGACCAAAAAACACTGGTTGACAAATAAGACCAAAAACCCTATCTTAAGCTTCCTGTATGATTTTATTCAGCTCTTTGCTAACACTTACAATATCAAAATTAAATAACTACACTGCAATTCAGTTATCCCCACTAAGTTTGATAATTGAATATGAATCAAATCTTACCCTAAAGCTGTACTGGTCATCGCATCCTTCTGCAGGACACATTTACCAGAGAGGAAATGCATGAAAATGCAGGGGAACACTTCCAGTGTACACACACTATAGTGTCTACATGCCAAGCTATATTTTCGTGAAGTCTATGCAACTGAGCAACAGCAAACTCAATTTTAAATATGGAAATGCCAGATAAGGATAATGTCATAAGCAGCACGTAGGCAGAAGATTCAATAAAATGGCTTTAATTCAGTTAGGTAGCCTAAATGGACTTCAAAACACGCACAGATATGGTAAATACTGAGATTTTTTTTAACATTTCCACAATTGATGTAATCTTAACAAAGATTTTCACTTGGCTGTTAGCAAAATCCATTCCATGCAAGCTTCTGAATGCCCAACTCAAAGCAGTAGTGATTAAAGCCTAGATGCATCTTGAAAACATCCCTCACACTGCTGGCAGCAAGTCAACATGACCTGTGGAGAAGAGGGATTTGATGCTATACTCTCTTGAATCTCGTGATTTGAAAAATGAAGGCAAAGGTACACCAAAAATAGGCAGGTGATAAAAAGGGAGACAAAAATACAATATAATTTACATTTGTATAGTGCCTTTCACGTCAAGAGGATGTCTCAAATCGCTGTAAATAGTGAACTGTGAAAAGCAATACTAAAACAAGAATCCAAAGGATGGCAGAGGAGCAGGTAATTTTAAATAATGGCGCAAAGAGAGGTAAAAAGAAATGCCATGGGATAAATAGTCACCATCAAAACTCACGGTGTTTACAGCTTTTTTAAAAAATATTACGTTTTTCTGCACCCTTCCTTTAAACAGTGAATCTTGCAGGGTTGGGAGAAAACTGCTAGGAGAGATAACGGATTGGGAAGAATTACCTTTGCCAATACAAGAGCACACTTAATGAATCTTGATTTACATTGATAAATGAAATTGCAATTTAACAACCCTAAACAATTTCCCCAAGGAGATCACCACTATTCAATATTGTGTGTTCGCTCAACTTTAAATTCCCCGTGCAGTCAAATAACTTGCAAACAAAGGATGACAATTTGGAAGATTTTGGTAGCCAGCACAGTGGAATCGCAACCCACATGCTTATTATGAGCATGAGACATAAGCCAACGACAGATTATTCAATAGAAGGCAGTAAATTTTAGAAAAAAAAAGTCACCTGTGGAAACAAAGCCTTCAAGAGAAGAAATTGAGCCTGGTTATTTTTGCGAAATTAGTTGCATTTTGCTGTGGCTTAAACACCTTACAATATCATAGTCAATCACGAAACAGCATAAGAAATCCCTGACTTTTAGCATTTTGGCAATATTTGCAGCACCTAGCTTATTAACAGGAAAAAACAAATATTGGGTTGTTACGACTATGTCAGCAGTTTAAATCAAGTCTACAATGTCAACAGCTGGGATACAAACTTATATTTATAGCTCTGGATTACAAAATTGAAATCAGATGTAATATTGACCCTTTATTTTGTAATCAAATGTATTGCACACTAGGGCACTGAGGTACTGAAAAGCACCACACAAAATGTAATCTCTGCTCTATACTGACTTAGTTGATCACAGCTCAAACATCAGTAGACAGTAGTAGCCTTCTCAATCAGCAACATTCAGAATAGATGCAATGAAAGGGCAGCAAAACACTTTCATTAAAACAAATAGGACTTCTATGTGACCCAGTCAATCGCATGGAAATAAACAGCAGACATTAAACTGCTTATTTCAACATGGAAGGACATCACAGCAGTAGTAATAGTTTCTGAAAACCAAATGATACTATAAAAATCAAACAGTTAACATTATAATGGGCTTTGTTATAACATGTATTCCCTCACAGCATGCATGGGGAATGAATTGCAACATTTACTTACCAATAAAATCCAAAATGTGCATAGAAATCTGTACAGTTCGCTTCAAACCACTCTTTCGCATTTCAAAATGATTGTATGCCTGTCTGCGCACTAGAAATGGTCCAGTTCTGGGTCAACAGACTGTTGCCTATGTCACTTCTCATGCAGTATGCAGAAAGTGACATTGGTGGCAATCCAATCACCCAAAAGATGGTCACGTTTAACATAGGACACAAGCCTGTTTTTTTTTGTATGTATGAACAGTGAATGCAGAAGTTTACCCTGTTATAAGGTGGGTTTGAAATTTATGGACCCCCAATTACCACATTTATAACAGGTCCCTATTGCACATTGTGTACCAAGATAGAACATAAATTAAGTTTCAAAATTCAATCAATGTAAATGGAGGGGCAAGATTTACCATGGAGCAAACTGCAAAAATCTCATCCTAATGATGGAACAGCTGCTGCCACTGTTATTGCACAGCTGGTAAAACTACAGGGTAGCACTAAACTTCACAGACCCGAGGGACCCAGGTTCGAATGTCCAGTCTGTGCTAAGTCATCTGCTCTGAGTCGGGGCAGCAGTTAGGTGCTACAAATGAACTCAGCTCTCTGGACCAGGGAAAAAGAAAATGCGAGTTCACACCCCTGATAAGCTCTGATGAGCCCTGCTGGAAAGTGCACACATGGTATTGGACGAGAATTGTACATTTCAGTCCGTGATGCGTTACACAGTGGAATAGTTTGCTGAGAGTGAAGCTAACTTGTAAGGAATGACTAGTTGAATATAATTTTGCAAATTATATAGTACAAAGTCACATAGACTACAAGGTTGCAGGTTCACTGACTAGCTTGAGTCAAATTTGTTAATCTCAGACAGCACAGTGGCTGAGGCACTGCAACTTCTACCACTATTCATGAAAAAAATATTATTCATGGATTAAAATTAACATCAAAACAGAGTTACCACTTCTAATCATTATTCAGAAATCTCCACTGGAAAGTACATACAAGGAAATTTGGCAAGATCAGAATGGAGTTCAGGCTTGATGCCCTCCATGATGGAATACCCTGCTAATTTCATTTCAGACATCTCGAAGATGTGATAAGGCGCTATACCAAATGCAAGGATTATTATTATTATTCTCTGTGAATGGGCACTTAAGCAACAGATACCTGTGCAACTGCACATCTGCATGAGTCAATACCTTCAAGAGAAAAATAAAATGCAAAGAACAGCAAAACTATTTAAAGTTTAAATAGGCAGATATCTGTAGACAGGAGAAAAAGAAAGTTCTGCATTTTAAAACGAAGACAGTATTTCATAATAGCCACTTTGACGCCTTTCTTCTTCACACATTGGTCCTTTACTGCAGTCAAATTACTTTTAACACACGATGCCCTCTGCTGTAGAACAGTACTTAGTCCAAGATAAAACCCAGCTTTCACTGTAGAGAAAATCTACAGACATGCCCCAACTTTCGTTTTCAGTAGTCCATTGTTTTGTTACAATAGCAACATCAAGTACGAACGAAATGCATGGCCTTTCCCACTTAACTGAGTCAGGAGGACTTCTTCAGATTCAATGTTTTCCAGCAGCTCGTTTCAAAGAAATTAAGCAGAAGAAAAAAAGTGAAAATCTAAGTGGCTATCAGAGATTCACTTAGTATCTAAGAAGAATTAAAAAAGCAGCATTGGCTGCGACTTTACCTTTATGGTCCTTACCTGCGACCTTGTCGCGGATCAGTTTGGCAGACTCCACCTCTCCTATGCTACCAAAAAGGCTTCGCAGCTCATCCTGCGTCATGTTCTGAGGCAGGTAGTTGACAATTAAGTTGGTTCTCGCATTGTCATCCCCGTGATCCTTGCATTCCTCAGCCATGAGATCGAGTTCTCCTTGGTAACCGTTACCGTAGCAAGAGGAGTCGTTTGACATTTCACAAACAAAATCTCACCTGTGGAGGAAAAAATTACAATTCACATATCATATATATATATATAGGAGCAACACAGACAGCAATACTAATCAACTGGAAGAACTAATAATGGTGTATGGAGGAATGGGATAGAAGAGAGGGAGATAGGAAGGCTATAGGAAGACATTTTCCCTTTCACGTGCAAGGATTTACATTAAAAAAGTTGGCTAAGAATTATCAGACAAGGAAATGGGCTTCATTTCAATGTATTCTTTGAAGTGAAAGTGTATTCATGTCAGAAAAGGACAGTCCATTTTTCCTTAAATTTGTACTACTGAACCACAGTTAAGTAATGGCTCATTATTTCTTGTTATTTTTGTACGTTATTCCAAAATTTCACAGAAAACTAAACTAAAATTGAGAACAGACGGTACCAAAAAGATGCAATGATATCACGAGAGCCAGCCTGCAATCCACACAGTTGAATTAATATGTTATCTGATGATCAACAGAAAATATGAAGAGCTAAATGATAGCACTCAGAACTCAAGAAAACAAAAAGACATCAAGACAGACTATTCACAGGGTAAAATATTTTACATCCCACAATTCATCATATACCTTTTAGATTAGAAGATTCGGTATGCATCAAATTGTAAATTTATAGAAGCCGAAATCATAGAAAAAAAAGGAAAGACAAATCAAGAGAAATTAACCAAAGTATATGTATAGTTTGAGCTAATCTTTCTTTTCACTGCTGCTCACCAACATTGACTTCTTTCAAACCAAGAAAAGAATTCCAACAAAAAGGAAATGTGCTACTGCAGCATTACTCTTTTGAGGGCGACACTTCCAACCAATATCTTGAACAAGGGCCTCTCTGAGAAATGCTCTAACACACACACATACAGGATGAAAATGTCTACCTACAATTTTTCTCATTGTGAGCTTTCAATTTGAACAATTCCATCGCACACAGCTGCCAGTTAGAGATCAAATGCTTCCATAAAAGAATAGCAGCAACAGGACCAACTTAAGAAGTATGGATCTATTGACTTTCACTTGCTCCATGGATGCCTGAAAGCGTCGTGGAAGCCGATTCGATAACAACTTTTAAGAGAAGTAGATAATTATTTGGGGAGGACAAGTTTCCAGGGCTATGGGGAGAGAGCGGGGGAGTGAGATTGATTTGGATAGCTCTTTTCAAGGAGCTGGCACAGACACGATGGGCCGAATGGCCTCCTTCTGTGCTGCATAATTCTATGTTTGGAAAAGCTTGCCTCTTAACATTCCTTTCCTTCCTTTCAATGGATAGTGAGAAGAGAAACAGCACCGGGTCTCAATGTTGCCAACATCCAATGGCCAGCAGATCATAGAAAAAAAATGGAAAGACAAATCGAGTGAAATTAACCAAAGTATATGTATAGTTGAGCTTCCTTTTCACTGCTGCTCGCCAACATTGACTTATTTCAAGCCAAGAAGAAAAGAATTCCAACAAAAAGGAAATGTGCTACTGCAGCATTACTCTTTTGAGGGCAACACTTCCAACCAATGAACACAGGTAAAAAGGGAAATGCAGTGTGAGGAGTATACTCCTTTCCCAGCAATAAACTTTTTCAATGCATCTGCCTTTTCCCTATGTATTCAATGTATCTGCCTTTACCCCATGTATTTGTGAACCCAATGACCAGAATAACGAGTCAATCAAAGCATATCTGAGTTAGACCCTCCAGCTATCCAGGCTCCTAAATTCACTCAATTTAGCTCATTTCTTTCCTCACAATCCCAATTTACTTTAAACTGAAAGCTTCATTTCACCTCAATGGAGTATAAATGTCAGCATCACCGATGCCTTTTCTATTAAAAATAGCAACTGTATTGCCTTACCTTCAGCATTCATTTCACTTCAAAAGAAAATAGAGAGGGAGAAAACCTGCTCTGATATTCATGGGACATGTTGGTGATGGCAATAGAGAAATAACTAATGAAAATACCAACTTCCAGTAATTCACAATTTGATTCCAGTAATCCCACAAGGAGTCTGCTGGTGCCCGGTTGCTGGTTACTGCTTATGCCCTCATGACATTCATTTGAAAGCAGCTCTCTTTGTTAAGTGAATTGGATATATTTTGGGGCCAAGGTGTCTGATATGCAGAAACCCATCACCATGCTTAAGAGTATCCAAACCAAACTGAGAACTCCATACATCCCACCTGCACATGGATATTTCAGACAGATTAATGGAATGGACACTCTTTCTCTCTCTCTCCGATAGGACACATCCCGCTTACCTAATTCCAGAAAGTATTAGGCGCAGGTAAAACTGCAAAGCTTTCCAAAGCTTTAAATATTAAAAATGATTTGACCCAATATTGTATGCCACAAAATTAAAAGCAACTATTATTATTTTATCTACAGATCATCCTGCTTTAGAATCAGTCAAGAAACTGAGGTCCTGTTTGCTTTGCGATTTAGATAGTGACAGACTCCTGCCACTACAGCATTTCGGATAAAAGTGGAGTTTTCCGATGACATTCAAATTTACTCTCCCCAAAAACTGAATGAATTGCAGAGTCAGCTCATTGTCTAAAGGGACATTGCTGGCACAAATAGCTGCCACATTTGCCTGCATAAGATTCCTGATTAATCTCATTCTGTGAAGTACTGCAAGATGTTCTTTTATGCAAGAACCTATGCAAAAACAAGTTGACATTGCCTTAGTTGATAACTGGACTATCCGGTGTAGAACTGTGCCACAGAGATCACAAAGATCTTAGCTTCTAAACTCTTCACTCACTAAATTAGCCACAGAGAATTAAAACTGACTTCAACTTCAACTTAGGTAGAAGAGAAACAGGGAATAAAAATCCTCACCACTATTTTAGAGAGTTCACCATTTGAAAGAACTTGATTAGATTCAGCTGTGCTGCTTTCCTCCCCCTGCCACAGTCAAAAGGTCTAAGTTATTGTGTAGACTCAAACGTGAATGGCCACTCAGTCTTCTAAGCACTGGAAGACATCCAGTGCCCACAGAAACACTCCTGAATGTACTGGAATCTTCACAGGAATGAATTGTTGTGTGAATGCTTATAAAAAGAAAACAATCCACTATCCGCAAAACACTGAACACTACAGAAAATATAATAAAGCCCAATGTAAGACTATGATGCCATATCAGAACAGTACATTTAAAACTATTGATAGTTACTGTGTCATTCCAATCATGACACACAGCATCAACGCATAATCCAAACACTGCAATTCAAAGGCATGCCTTCCAACATATTCTTAAACCATAAATCAGCTAAAACATTAATTGGGTTCACATTATTACCCAGAATATTAAAGACATAAATGAGCTAATAAACAGGAAATGACCATGTATTCATGCAGATCACTCTGGATTAATTTTAATTTGAACTCACAGCCCAATATAAAATTGGTTCATTGACAGGTGCTCAAACTTTTTAAGTCATATCAGAATGAATGAATCCCATTCACAAAACACATAAAACACCACTTTCTAGTATATCCAGTAAAACTCACATACATTGTGATGTTACAACAATTAATATGATTTATATGATGAGACCATAAATTTAATTCGACTTACGCAAGTCTGATTTGCTGGCAAACTGTATAAATCGTAGAAAATCCAATTTAATCAATAATCCACACAGTGCATGAATAATTTAATGCAGCCGGTAAGTGCGCATTCGGTAGTTTGTCACTGCAGCAGGAATTCAGCACGCGGTGACGGGTCAATACTACATTGCCCGCAATTCATCGATTCTTGAACCATCGCCGCATGTGCACTTACCGGCAAGCATTGGAATCACGAGAAATGAAGTTTCCAGTGATTCAAGAACGGGCCAACGGGTCAAGACTATGCTTCCCGTAATTCAATGCAGCCAGGAAGTAAGTGCAGGAGTAATGGAGGATAGATAGGGGAGTGGCGTTACGAGTTCAGAAGTGATTAATACAAATCGTGCAAAGAAATAAGTGGTTTTGATAGGAACTCTGGAACTCCCTTCACCTCGCTCCCTCCCTTCCTATTTTCAGGTCTCTGCTGAAGATCTTTCTTTTCGATCGCGCCTTTGGTCACCTTCCTCCCCCTCCCCCTGGCTCGGTCCCGGGATCCATTACTGTGAAGCGTTCGGAGACGCCGTCCGTCGTGGAGGGTGCTATATAAATCCAAGTTGTTGTTGTTGAAACGGAATGGGACTTGAGTGAATGTATGATTTAGTTGATTAAATGATTTATAAAGATAAGACTTATGCAAGTTTTACTGTACTGTGAAGAGCTTTGAAATGTCTCAACAACGTCGTAAGGCTCTTTATCAAATGCAAAGATTATAATAAAGACCTCCTTTTTCCCCGTAAACTTGGCACAGAATATTAATACTTTCATGTTATATTAAATACATAGTTTGCTAAATCTTTAATGAAAATTACGCAAACATTTTTCTGAGATATAAGAGTAATGAATGAGTCAGGTTACTCAAGTTGGACTCGGAAGCAGTTCGAGATTTTAAAAAATGTTTTCAAAGAAACAGACCATTAATTGTCATCGCTTAAAGCATTGCCAGGAACAAATATATTCGCAACACAGTTGAAAACAGTATTACTACATTAAATTGATCTTGCAAAGAATCATGTAACCTACTTTACTTTGTAAATAAACAGAACAATACTGCTAGTATAGTGTACTAATACCAGGAACAGAACGCTGATTTGCATTAGCCTAACTTGGTAAACCAATTTGAATCTACCTTTATACGAGTAGAAAAAACCTCTGGAAACAGATGCATCTTGTTCACGTGAGTCAAGACAAAGTACAAAGTCTTGAAAACATCCAACTGCTCTAAACGTTGGGCATTTGGGGAAAATCATAACTTCCAAGTTTATTTTAGGATCTCCCCAGTGGTAAATAGATCTTTACCTCCCAACACAAATTGGGTAAAAACAAATTCTGTGTGTGTGGAGGGAGGAGAGGAAAGGAAGGGTTTAAAATCATAACTTCCAAGTTTAGTTTAGGATCTCCGAGTGGTAAATACACACTACCTCCCAACACAATCTGAATACTAACCAAATGTTGTCTGTGTGTGTGTGTGGGGGGGGGGGGGGGGAGGAAAGAAAAAAAAAGGTGAAAAACCAGGTCAAAAACTAAACGTAAACGCGAAATTAAGGCAATTTTTGATGGGATTTTGTTGTGCCAAAGGCGGCTGTTACGACTGCTTCACCCGCATTGTTCGGACCAGTGCAGTGGCGCTGCGGCCGAACCAAACGCTTCATTCACCTGTTATCCTCGCTAACGGTTACCGCTCGCCCCCCCCCCGTCTCTCCAGCCCACATCCCGGGATGGACGCAGGTGCGGCCTGGCCTGACCCCGGGGGGGGGGCGCTCACAAACACCCACCCACCCTCCAGCCTCTCCCGCCGCCGCCGCCTCAGCTTTTTCAACCGAATGCAACGACGCGCGTTTCGGAAAGCAACGGGGCCCCGGCGGAGACCCCGCGGCCTAGCCCGCAGGCGCGGAGCCTCGGCTCTCACGTTTTCTCCTCCCGCCCGCCGCTGTTTAGAATCCCGGCGCCCGCCCTCGAGGCCCTCGCGCGCCCTGACAAGACCGGGGCCTGTACGTTAAACCGCGCCTCGGGAGCGAGCCGCGGCGTTTTCCTCGTGTAAAAAAAAACACACGCCGGGTGCTTCATTCGCCGGCCGCCTTCGGGGGAAACGGGGGTGGTTAGTCACGCCCAGGCCGAGGCTCCGGGTGGGTGGTGTAGGCCGCGAGCGCCGCATGGCGATATGGCACCGGCCGGGGCCCCGCTCCCGCCTCCCGGTCACTGTGGCTACCGTTTACAGCGATGTTGTCGCGCGTTAAGCCGCCTTCTCCTCTCGCGGAGTGAGCCGGGCACTTACTTGTATATTACTCCCCAAAATGGATGCTGAGTCGGTGGGAGGGAGAGAATGTGGGGGGTGGGGAGGGGGGAAGGGGGAGAGGGGTCTCGGTGGCGGCGTATCCCGGCCCCAGGGGCTGAGGGTGAGGGGAAAGTCCGGCCTCGGGGGGGAGGAGGAGGAGGAGAGAGAGGGGAAAAAACCGTTAAAATCAAACAAAGTCAACCGCGCGCTCCGGCAGCTGCGCGCGCACCAACAGCGGCGCTGGGGAGCAGGGAGGGGCGCTCCGCCAATCACACCCCCCCAAACCTCGCCTCCCTCTCTCTCTATTGGTCAGAACGCCCGTCAATCTTGATCTTGCCCCCCGCCCCGCCCCCCCCGGACCTTTCCGGCGCTCCCATTGGTTCGCGTCCACGTCAATCCGTCTCCTGCCTCGATTCGATTGGTCTCCGCACGTGTCCGTCAAAGCTCACTTAGAGCCCGCCCACCCCTCACATTGGTGCCCGCCCACACAGCACAAAGTGCTTTCTGTTCACAATAATAGCAATAATAATAATAATATTATAATAATAATAATCCTGGCATTTCATACAGCGCATTATTCACGTCTTCGAGACGTCTCAAAGCGCTTCGCAGAATATCCTGTAAAGTGAATTGACGTGACTGGGTATTTTGTGGGCGAAACACAGCAGCCAAATGACCAAATTATTATTATTTTTTGGAAGGGATCGTTATTCTCGGAAAAGCGATCCGCCAATCGACTAACAACCGGGCAGCTGCTCGCTGCTAGGTAAACCGTGGCGTGAGGAGTTAAGGAAATTTGCCCAACATTTTCGCCCTGCCCGGGAATGCTCCAACCGCAGAGCGACAAGACTCCGCAGATTGGTTTGGAAGCAAAGGCTCTTCGGTCCATTCTGATCTTATCCTTCCAGAATAGTTTCAACCACACATTAGATAGATTTCTATTAGGAAAATAATATCTCGGGATACAGTATATGGTTTGGGAACACGACTTGTGCATGCGACTGCCAGGATGGTGGAAAGCGAATTGGAGGGCAAACTTGGTCTTATTTCACCTAGCAATTCTTATGTAACACCCACCCTACCAGACCCCCATCACAGCATCCAGCTTGCTTTTTTTTAAAAAAGAGTCCCAGTGTCCTAGCCCTTGTGCCAGTCGTTAATGAATAAAAGAAAAAATCTTCCTGTTGTCTATTCTCAATTTTCCCTTTGCCACTCGAAATCCATGTCCTCTTGCTTGGCAGTCTTGGTGCACGCGAAAGTATTGTTCTGGGTTCTTTATTTTTTCAATCCCATTTTAAATTTTAATACACATCTGACCAGGGCAGTGGAGTCGCAGGAGGTGGCAGAGGTAGGGTGGGGTTGGGCAAGGCTACAGAGGCATTTGAAAATGAGGGACTTGCTGACCTTGTTTTCCAAGGTTTATCAAAAAATCAGATGAAGAAGGCCATTCACTCATATGAAATAATCCTTCTAATGCACCAATTCTATCTGGGATCAGTAAGAGAACAAACTGTGATCTGAAGCTGTGGCCTTTTAAGAGATTCACTCAGATCATTTCAGTTGAGAAGCGCTTTGGGACGTCTGGAAGACGTTAAAAGTGCTATATCAAATGCAAGGATTATTATTATCATTTCATTTAGGTTCTGTTAATGTATGAACGTGCTTGAAGCAGGTGGCCTATAAATATAATAATAGTAATCCTTGCATTTGATATAGCACCTTTCATGTCAGGAAGAAATCTAAAAAATGTGCTTCATTGGATTTCGTGTGAAGTGTATTTTGCAAGCGAAACATGGATGAGTGCATAGCAGTCAATAGGTATCCAGTCTCCAAATATCTAGTTTATTTCAAGTATACTATTTATCCTTTTGGTAAAAGAATAGCACACATTGTGACTAAACAATGCAGTATTCATAAGGCTTGTGAAATGGCTGGAGTTGATTGATTGTAATATTGAAGGTGAAAGTCTTAAGTAACTGAAGGGTTATCTGGTCCAAGGTTCCTCCCATTGAGAGGGAGATTAAGATCAGTGTTCATTATTCCATATTACAGCAAAAGCAGTTTGGAGGAGGCTTTCCCCAAAGATTTGACCTGGAACACCTTGGCTCAGTTGATAGCACTCTCACAAGTTTCAAGTCCTACTTTGGGATTTGAGCTCAAAATCTAGGCTAACACTTCAGCACAATACTGGGAGAGCACTGGATTGTCACAGACTCCATCCTTTGGATGAGACATTAAACCAAGGAACTGATCTTGCTAGTGATATAATTTCCCAATTTTTAAAAAATAATAATTCTTGCATTTTGCCCACAAAATCCACTTTACCATATATCCTGTGAAGCACTTTTAGACATCTCGACAACAACAACAACAACAACAAGATTCCATTTATAAAGCGCCTTTCACGTCAGGAGGACGTCCCAAGGCGCTGCACAGTTGGGTCATGACCCGAACAGGGGGAAATGGTCAGGGTGAGGGGAGGGAAGGGAGGGAGCGAGGAAGGGGGAAATGGTCAGGGTGAGGGGAGGGAAGGGAGGGAGCGAGGAGGGGGTAGAGAGTCGAGAGGGGAGCTGAAGGCTCGGTCAAAGAGAAAGGTTTTGAGACCGGCCTTGAAGGAGGAAAGGGAGGAAGCGGCGAAGGCACTGGGGGATGGAGTTCCAGAGCCTCGGGGCTGAGAGGCTGAAGGCCCGACCACCGATGGTAGGGCGATTGGGGCGGGGGACGTGGAGCAGACCGGAGCCAGAGGAACGGAGGGTACGGGCAGGTAGGTAGGGGGATAGTAGGTTGGAGAGGTAGGAGGGAGCAAGGCCGTGAATGGCCTTGTAGGTGAGGATGAGGATCTTGAAATCAACGACATGATGAGGCGCAAATGCAAGGATTATAATTATTATTTGGTATAACGCCTTTCATTAGGAGGTTGCCTCAAAGTACTTCACAGGATTTATTGTAAAGTGTAGTGATTGTTCATTTTGTAGTTGACATTTATTTGCTAAATAGTAATATAACCAGGAATTCACTGGAGGTGGTACTCTGACTCCTGCTTCCCTCACTACCTTTCGAGTTAAAGGGCAAGTGTAACATTGCTCCAAACAAATCTCAAAAGCTGGAAACACAAGTTCAGTTGGCTCATTGGGGTGTTGCAAAGGGAGGCCAAATTCACATACTGGACACCTGTACAACACCTGCAAGCTTCATGGCATATGTTAATCAATAAATAAATTAAGCTTGCCTTTGGCTAGGTAGGTTAGTTGGTTTTGCATTGGGTTGGTTCTGCCTTGGGTTGCATTGTTCATTAGGGAACAGCTGTAAAACATTTCTATTTCCCATACTCAATGTCTGTCTGGGTCAGCAGAGGCTCTGTAGTTTCATCATCAGTAATTGTCTTTCAGTGCTCCAGGTGCAAAAGATTGTCCCAGACAGTCCAATATCTCTCTCTCTCTCTCTCTCTTCATGCCCTTGCTCTTCAACAGAATCCGACTGCTTCTCAAACCTCACAGATGTTGTGCTTGATGGTTTCTCTTTCACTCATGTGATGAACACCACATCACTCTTGCTAAAGATGGAGTTCCTGGGGATGGTCTGTCCTCTCCCTCTGCTCAGCAGTCTCCGGCCTGCTGTAATCCGTCCCCACCCTTTGGAACGCCATCCCACAGTCCCTTCGCCTCCTTCAAGGCATGTCTCAAGACTTTCCACTTCAACCCCACCTTTGGTCACCTTCCCACCCCTACCCTCCCTACCCTCCACCCCTCTTGAATCCCAACCCTCTGCTCGGGTCCAAATCCCTGACTTTCCAACGCCTTGGGATGTTCTCCCAAAGTGAAAGGTGCAATACAACTGTAATTTGTTTTTGTTGAATACATATTGGTCTTTTGATCTATTATAATTTTGAAGCATTACCTGGACGAGGTTGCCAGGGCAACCAATAAAACTTGTAACAAGCCACAGACGTATTGAACAGGGTTTTTCCATGTGACCAGAAAATAAAGCAGCGGCAGAAGGTTCAAGCCATTAATCATCAGGCCAGAGAGGACAGTGAGGGCAAAGAGCTCCAGCTTCTGGCCAATCAACCAGGGCTCCTCCATCTCCAACAACAACTTGCATTTATATAGCACCCCTTCACATCAGAAGGCGTCTTGGAGCACTTAAATCTCTGAGATTTTCCCATCCCCAGGAAAATGTTAAATACGCCAAATGGTGAGATGTGGAATGTTTATTCCCTTAACGTAAAGCGATTTCTCACTTTTACAAGTGAATAGATTCCCCTCTCCCCCAACTTTTAGTATCCTCCCAACATCAAATGCAAGGATTATTAATAGTATTATTACTCTGTCTTTTCCCAAAAGCCCTGTAGATCATTCCTCTCTGGATGTTCATCTAGTTCCCTCTTGAAATGCGAATAACCAGTTCCCTTTGGATGCCAGTGCTTATGTGATAAGTTCCCTCCCTGACTATTCCTGTCAACGAGCCAAAATATTTCAAGAATTTAACATAATAATAATAATAATAATCCTTGCATTTGATATAGCGCTTTTCATGTCGGGAGAACGTCCCAAAGCGCTTCACAGAACACACTGTAAAGTGAATTGACTGTATATTTGTGGGCGAATGCGGCAGCCAATTGCCCACTTGTCCCACAAACAGTCGTAGATTGAAAATGACCAATTTATTATTGTTTTTGGTTTTGGAGGGATTATTATTAGGCTCTGTGTGGAGTAAGGAAACTTGCCCAAGGTTTCACCCTCTGCCTGGAATTGAATTCAGGTCTCTCACTTGCATGTGCCTCTTCATCTGTTTATTATAATAATGACAACAATAATGATAACAATGATAATTAATAATAATAAAGCATACATTTGGTATAGCACCTTTCATGTCACCTGACTCAAAGTGCTTCACAGGATATATTGTAAAGTACAATGACTGTGTTTTGTGGGAAAACGCCACAGCCAGTTTGCACGCACACATCAAGTAACAAGCAATAATAATTAACAATAATAAAGAGAATAAAGTAACTCCACAATCTGAGAGTAGACATTAACCACTGGGTTTCCTCCCTCAACAAGGCGCTGGACAGTCAAGGATTTGCACCCAAGCTAGGGATTAGGAGGGGTGGAGGGTAGAGAGGCTATGGGTAGGAGGTGATCGAAGGCACGGTCGAAGAGGAAGGTCTTGAGACTTCCGCTTATTTCCTCTGGTGACCATTCGCATCAGTAACTTCATTCTGGAGGGG